CAAATGTGGATTGCATATGTAAATAAATACCTATTAGGTCCCTTTAAAATTAACATATTCTAAATAATAGAACTATTTTGGTGTAGTGACTCATTTTGCCAATAGAGTTCAGAATACACATTTCCTATAAACATCTTGTATTTACAAAGAACAAATAATAAGTTATAACAAAGTATATCCTTCTGTCAAACTGAATGGCGGGGGAGGGTCTGGGGTCAAGGCAGGTGCAATTAGTTTATGTAATAGGATGACCTTCCTCTCACTGAGGCGAGGGGCTGGTGTCTGGAAGATGATGAGCAGGTTGCTGGGCAGTCCCTAACCTCTCACAGTCACTTCTCAGCACGGTGGAGTGTCCTGCTGCACCCCACTGAGCAGAACCAGGACAGTGGGACAGGTCCGCCTGGAGAGAATCACTTTGCTCCAGCAAAGGCACAGGAAAGCCAGGCGAGCTGGGTGAGAGAGAGGGCATCGGAGGGCCCTAACCTAGCGGAGGCTCTGCCCCCATCGAGCTGTGACCCTGGGTGTGGACTAGCCGTCGGGAAGCTTGGTGACTCATCTACAAAGCAGGGCAGTCAGGGCAGCTCTGACCCATTTGTTAGCAGTTCTCTGGGGCCCAGATTTAGCTTGGGGACAGGCGTGACACTGAGCTCAAAGTGGCAGACACAGAAATGGGAAGCACACGAGCCAGCACTCGCTGTCCCAGACCTGGCGAACCGTTTCAAGCTGTTCTACTTAGAGTCACCCCAACCCAGACTTGGCAAGGATCTTAAAAGTCATGTTGCCCCAGCTGGGCGCTTGAATGCCCTCTCCGGCATCCCTGACAAATGGCCAATCATCCTCTGATGAGCCCTCCAGCGATGGGTCAGTCACCACCGACCAAAGAGGCTCTGCCTTCCAAATGCTCTAACCTGCAGAAAGTCGATTCTTCTGCGAGAGTTAAATTCTGCCTCCCTGTAGCGTTATCTCCCGATCCTGGACAGCTGTCCCAAAGCTCCAGGCTCAGCATCCTCATCAAGTCCTTCCCTCTTCTGAACAGCCTGTAGCCCCTCATCAGGACTGAATGGTACACACTAGCTATAGTCCTCAAAGTTTCCCATGGCCATAAGCACACTGTTTTCTCCTTATGTAGCATACGTGTTTTGTGTTTTCTTTTGTTTTGGTTCCATCCACTTTCTTGACTTATATTGTACTTGTATAATATATATATATATATATATTTTTAACCCAAAGGTAAGACTTTATGTGGTTCCCTGGTCAGTAGTCTCCCAGATCTTTTTGGGTCCAGAATGTGCCACCCAAGCTGTTAGCTCTCCAATGTCATGTCATCTACAAATCCCATCAGTAAGGCACTGTCCTCCCACCTCGGCCGTAGTGACCTGTTTCATAGGGAGCGGATGTCGGCCTCCACCGCGGGCTGACATAGCTCCCTCTGGTTTGAGTATTTCGCTTGTTTTAAGGTAGGTCCTGTTTCTTTTTACTGCTTATTTTTGTCTTCTTCTACATTAGAAAACTGATATTTAAACTCTAAAATGGCCATATTAAAAAAAAAAAAGACATTGGCTTAAACAAAGGTCCCAGTAATATTAATACTCTCTGGATCTCTCTCTGCCACACAACTTGACGAAAATAAATTAAACTTGTTTCCCATTTTCCATCCATCCCAGGCCATTTGTTTTGAAGGAGAAAGAGTGATGGATGCTAAACACTCTGAGGATCAGTAAAGAACACATACTCAAAGACACGGGGATGGAAAACTCCAAGAACCCTGGGCCAGAGAGTGTGCACGGGGACAGAACCCTGGGCCGGTGTGCACGGGGACAAAGAACCCTGGGCCAGAGAGTGTGCACGGGGACAAAGAACCCTGGGCCAGAGAGTGTGCACGGGGACAGAACCCTGGGCCAGAGAGTGTGCACGGGGACAAAGAACCCTGGGCCAGAGAGTGTGCACGGGGACAAAGAACCCTGGGCCAGAGAGTGTGCACGGGGACAGAACCCTGGGCCAGAGAGTGTGCACGGGGACAAACAACCCTGGGCCAGAGAGTGTGCACGGGGACAGAACCCTGGGCCAGAGAGTGTGCACGGGGACAGAACCCTGGGCCAGAGTGTGTGCACGGGGCGGCTGTGCAGCCGGAGAGCTCTGCCACCGCCAGGTCCCTGAGGGCGGGGCTGAGCTGGCTCATTTTGGCTCTCCTCCTGCCGTGGACAGAGGCACCAGGATGCCTGGGGGGGGGGGGGGGGCTGACCCCTCCCGTGTCCCACGCTGGGCCCTGCAGGCCAACATGAGAAACACTGCCTGCCGTCAAGGCCTTCGCTTCGCCTGCGAGCGGCACAGTTTCCTTTTCCGACAGTAAAAGTGAAAAAGCAAACTTTCTGTTTGGAGCTTGGTTGATGCATGTGAGAAAAACATATGACAAATTAAATTCATCTAGTTTTAAAAATCAGAGCAGGGAACGAGGCAATCCAGTACACAGAAAGAAAAAAAAGCAGTATGAAATGTAAATTTCAATTGTGCACTGTGGCCGGTTCCAGGGACCAGGGGACTGAGGGGGCAGGCGATGGAGAGGAGGGCAGAGCAGGGCGCGCAGGGGGGCGAGCGCGTCTGGGGGGGCGTCCGCAGGTGAGCTCTCCTCTGACTCCCCGGGACAGTCATCACCAGAGCTTTACCTGAAATGTGCTCAGGACAAAGGCATTTAGATGCTGACATGAGAAGCTGGGAAATTAGTAAAAAATGGATTTCTAAGGCAAATAAGTTGACAAAATCCTTGCTCTAGGAATTTATAACCTTCCCAGAGATAAATGAATTCCAAAAATAGCTCCGCTATTTGTTGGAAGAGAAGGAAGCCTGTCGTTTAGGTGCGTTGGGAGCCACAGGACACTGCCAGATGTCCAGGAGGAGCCATCACTGAGACACCTGAGGTGAAAGGACCCGGACGCTCACCTCCCACGCGACAGAAAAATCCCACTCAGGATGGACAGCGCACTCATGAACGGTGGCCGTGCCTCCGTCCGGAGGTGGGGGGCTGCAAGGTGTCCCCTTACTCGGAGCTGAACTCAGCTGCTCTCCCTCCCGAGCCGCCCTGCCATCCAGCAAGCAGGGTCGCGCTGCCAAGGACTCCTTCCTGGCGGGCTTGTTCGGCAGGTCTGAGGGCAGCTCCGTCGAGGAAAAACTCCCCTGTGACTAGAAGTAAAAAACTTGAGCGAAAGGAAGAGAGTGGGCACGGGGGGAAATCACCTGGTGGGCACGGGGACAGGGGCCGCTTCCTGCCTGCTTCTCTGCACAAGTCCCATGAGAACCAGGAAAGATGGGGTGCTTCTGGGAAGTGGTGGCTGGGGACCCCAGGAAGAGGACAGCCACAAAAAGGCGGAAGAGAAGCTCTGCAAGCTCGTGAGCAGAGGGAACCCAGCAGCGCGTCAGCCGGGCTGGCGACAGCCCCGGAGAGCTGTATGGGGTCGTCTCGTCAGCAGATTTCTGGTTTCCGGGAGAAACTCAGTTGCTAAGGCCTGAAAGGAAAGGGGCCCGGACCTCTGTACTTATTTAGATACAATTTCTATAAGCTTACAATTTGTTTAGCCTGGTGTTTTTCTTAACACGTGCAAGAAATAATATATACATATATTTTTCTTCTAGATGGATTTTTCAAATAGTTCACCTTGCAGTCAGCCCTACCTCCCCCTCCCCCGCCCTGGCACTGCAGTCAGGGGAGGTGACCCCGGGAGGACCCTGCAGATGCAGCGTCACGGAGTTCACAGCCCCTCCACCCGGACTGGCTCCGTTACTGTAGATCTTAGTGCTCATGTCTGGGAGGAGGGGGAACGCGGGTCCTGAGTCCTGGGGGAGAAGGAAGGACTTGAAATCATAGAGAGAAATCCACAAATCAAACCAGAAAGACCAAAGGGAGACTCTTCCTAACATAAACATAAGGCTTCACTGGCATGGGTCGGCTACCCTTCCACCGGGCGTATGTGGTGCCGGCCAGCAGGGCTGGGCGAGGCACAGGGCCAACAGCTCTGGAAGTCCGCTGGGGGACTGGAAGGTCCCCGGGGCTCCAGGGAAAACATCCCACTGGGGAGTGAAGTCAGAATTTCAGGCCATCACCTTGATACCCTGTGGCTTTATGGTCTCAGGGAGAGTTCCTTTAAGGATGGGGCTTAACTAAACCTGCAGTGACTAGGCTCTGTGCCTTGGAGGGGAAGGATGAGTGGAACAGGCTTCAAAACAGCTGCTGCTGGTCAAGTCTTGACCTTTGGCTGCCTGAACTTTGTTTGCTAATTGGGAAACTTCTCAGACCTAAGACTTCTGGATACGCCTTGGGGTGGGGGTTTTGTGGTCAGATGATTGGGGTTGGGACTCAGCTTTGCCACTGAACAGGTGAATATACCTGGCAGGTCACTGAGTCTGTTTCCTTGTCAGTAAAATAGGGACAATGACTCATTCCCTGCCTCCATTCTGGGGTGTTGTGAGCCACTAATGAGTTAGTATCTGTGAATATACCTGGGAAACAATAAAGCACTACACTGACATGAGATACTTGTGTCATGAGGCAGAAGACAACCTGATTGATGTCTTTGAGAATGAAAACAGGCACAGCTGGGCTGAGGTAACAGCGGGATGCAGGGGTCGGAGCTCCTGGGGCCCTGGAGAAGGGGCGCTGCCTCCTGGCTCTCCAGGGGGCGCTGAGATTGCAAAGGCCGGTAGCTCCCTGGAGGAGGCAGCACCATCTGGGCTAGTTGGTGACCTAGAAAGTGCCAGGAGGGGAGCTGGCCGAGAACTACCTGCACGCCCCCTGTTTGGTGTCGAGAGAGCACCTCTGGAAGTTGCCAGGTTTCCCGAGGAGGGACCGTCAGTTTATAGCAATGCTCACAGCTGAGGCTCTGCTCCTGGGCACCGTGTACACTTGACTGAAGGTGGGGCTGGTGACCAAGTTGGCTGGCAGCGCCCTGGGCTAGGGACCCCTGGTGGAACAGCGGCCCGATGGCCACCCTGCTTACAGACTCGCTGCTCGGCCCTGCGGGTGGGTGCCGGGGGGTTATCTACTCCCCAGGAAGCCCAGGTGCCTGTTGGCCACGCGCGTGCAGGAGGCGCAGCAGGCCGTCTTGTAGTAGTTGTAGACGCAGAGGCGGGCCTGCACCACCACGTTGCAGTTGTAGTACCTGTCCTTGCAGCTCTCATCTGCAGCGGAAGAGAACAAGACGCTCTGAGCACAAGGGGCAGCTGGGCCACCGGGAAGAGAGAGCCTGTGAGGGGCCCCTCTTCATCCGGTCCTGCTGCCTGTTACCCACGGAGTGTGCATGTGTACTAAGCGCTTGCATTTTTCTTTTTATTTAAACACGACGTGGAAATCTCACTACTCTGACCTTAAGGATGATGGAACCAAGTCTCTGAATGCGTTACCATTTTAATCAATTCACATTTATCTTTTGATGGGTGGTTTGGGCCACCAGCCATGCTATAAACTTATGCCAAAAGAACTTTGACCCCTGAACTCCATGACTATGCAAAGGCCACAGGGAGACCTCGATGGGTGTGTCACTGTCATACCAAAGAACTAGGCAGAGCTGAACAAAGATGAATATTTACTCCAGGATAGGGATCCCCACTTACCAACTTCAGGGACACAGTCTTGAGGGTTACATGATTCTTTCTCTTCTGGTTTCAACTGAGGGTCACAGAGATTACTTAGGGTCATGTCATCTGACAGACAGCGCACTTCACGGACCCGGAAGCCACCTTGGCAGCTCTTGGAGCACTGGGAGGGCACAGAGGGAGGAGCTCAGCACACAGCAGAGGTGAGCCAGCGTCACTTCCAACCTCTCCAAGAGGAGACAGAATATTTAAACAACTTTTATGCAGCTGTTGACCAGTTTCAACCCCCATCAGCTTGTGGCAAGTCGTGTCCCAGCTACACCCCACACACCCACTCCTTGGATTATTTTGAAGCAAAATATTACGTCTCCTGTAATATTTCTGTTTGTAGCTCTAAAACACAATGACTCTATAAAAATGACCACAATGCTATTATTATACCTAGAAATGAACAACACACCGTTTCTTATTGTTTTTAAATACAGGGGTGGGCAAAAGTAGGTTTACAGTTGTTTGTATGGAAAATAATGAAATAATAACTAATACAAGAATACACTTCTGCATACTCACAACTGTAAACCTGCTTTTGCCAACCCCTGTAGATAGTCAATGTTCCTATTTTCACTTATCCTATGAATTTCATAGATTTTTAAATATAGTTTAAAAAGATCAGGATCCAAATCAGGTCTGCAGTTGGCTGATGTGCCTTTTAGTCCGTAGGTTCCCCTCTGCTGAACTTTCTGCCCTCGCCCTGAGTCGTGTGTGCGGCCGAGCTCCCCGGGGCCGGGACTCTCTGGCTGCACCCCCATGGCACAGTCTAACACGTTCCTCTGTCCTCTGTATTTCCTGTAAATTGGAAGTTGGATCTAGAAGAGGCCTTAACAGGTGCAGGTGTGATTTTTTTGTGTGGTGAGACTACTTCTTAGGATAAGTATGATTGTCTTTTGGGGATGTCAGCAGCCACTGATGAGTAAAGCCCAGATCTTTCAATTAATTCGGGGTTGAAACATTGTGATGATATTCTATTGTCTCTTCTTTTATTAGCTGGAATCATTGCCAAAGAACCCTCCCCTCCCCCAACCACACCCTAGCCATTACTCTTCTGTTACCCAGGGGTGGTGCAGCTTGTTTGTTAGTAAATGCTTGATCCTTTTCATCACTTTTCAGAATAATGAATTGGTTCCCCTAACATCCTCTAATGGTGACCAACTGGTTTATTGCTATTATAAACTTGGTATAAATGGATGCATTTAACATATGTGGTGTGTTTCATTCAATCGATAATAGTTATTATTTTCTCCTGACGCTCACTCATTTCCCTCAATGGTTAGCAGGAGCCTCTAAAAGTTGGTTCTTGAGTCCTCTGGTCATAAACTCAGTTGTCTTTGAGAACTTCCTTGTTGCCTGTCATGAAAAGATATTCCAATCTAGCCTGGTTTGCTCAGTAGTTAGAGCGTTGACTGGATTCCCCGTCAAGGGCATGTACTTGGGTTGCAGGTTTGATCCCCAGTCGATGTGTCTCTCTTATATAGATGTCTCTCTCTTTCTCTCTCTCTCTTCAAAAAACAAAACAAACAATGGAAAAATATCCTTGGGTGAGAATTAACAACAACGAAACAAGATATTCCAATCTAATTTATACTTATACGATTCCAGATCTCAAGCTGGCCATTTATCTAAGGGTTCCTGGCTCCTTTGGCAGAGAGAGGTATTTTGAATGCAGTCTGGCAGAGAGAAGTGCTCTTCCCCTCTGGGCTGGCCACTGTTTCTGGGCTCTTTCAGTGGATAAGACTAGAAAGGTGAGATACATTGATTTATGAGTTCATACTGATATTTCTCAGTTAAATTCAGGACAATGGAATTTTTCACTTAAATCTCTTCTATCATTTTTAACTGTGTTTTTTTCCTCCTAAGTTGAGAACCCTATTTCAAAGATACTGGGGTAATGGAGTTATACTATCATATTAGCACACACATATTATCACAGTGCCATGAAGTATAGTACTCTTTTCCTTTATTTATCACACATTATACACCGGACCGTGTCAGAGCACAGTACAGCACTACCACCGAAAATGCAAACAGGGAAACACTATTCTGTCCTTCTGTCCTTAGGGATGGACAGTCAAATGGCTGTGTTTTAAGACACATGCAAGAGTTTATTTTCAAGAAACATCCTAAAACAGAAAAAGTCCTCAGGGCATTATTTCTTGTGACCATTTAACAGACCCTGGACACCGGGGGGTGGGGTTCATTCTGCTTTGTGTCACCGAAGATCACAAGCGTGGCTGTAGGTGAGCCCAGAGTAGAGGCCAGAGCCTTTCTCAGAATCATTCAAAGGTTATAAAAAGGTCTTTGCTTATAAAATATATGAATCAAAGCTGAGAATTCTGTTTCCAAATAGTGTGTCAGCTCCAGTGAGAACAACCGCTTGGGGGTGTGGTGAACCACAGGCCAGAGGCGAGGTAGCACAGGCGGTGTTAAGTTTCAAAGGTGTTTTGTAAACTCTGGGAAATGAAATTTAATTATTTTGATGTTGGCCAAGGCCCTTGAGAAGACACAAACAGATCACTGTTTGGTTTGGAGAGTCTAGAAAGGGCCAGATCCACCAAGCCTCTCGAAGAAGACGCACTGAGGAGACACCTGGCCGGAAACAACCCAGATGTCCCGTGACAGGTCATCGGGTGCCTCTGAACAAAAGAATACTGCTCAGCAACAGAGACGAATGAACTGTTGCTACCCAGACACCATGGATGAACTTTAGGTGCATTTTGCTAAATGATCCCCAAAGCTAGATATTGTATGATTCCACTGATATGATATTCTGTAAAAGGCAAAACTTAGGGACAGATGCCAGCTCAGTGATCGCCAGAGGATGGGGTGGGCTGCATCTCACTAAGAAATGACAGCACAAGGGGATTTATTGTGTGTGACGACACTTTGATGTAAATGATAATAACAAGGACTGTGATGGAACCCAGATGTCTCTGAATATGCCTTGTTTTATAATTTGCATTTAGAACTGAGTCAAACTTTTACATAATTATAAAAAAAAACCCAATTCTTAAAAATAAAAAATGAAATAAAATAAATTAACCTAAGTGTATATTCAAGAGGCCCAGGTACACGCACGGGAGGAAGGCAGGACGGCGCACTCACGCAGTCTGCCAGGAGACCCTGACTTACCACGCTCCATTCTGTGTTAAACCACTTGGCCCCGCAAGGCTTCAGGTGGCAGGGTTGCTGGCTGGGGGGTCTCTCGAGGAATGAGCATTCATAGGGGTCCAGCACTTCAAAGGTGTCTGCATTCTTCCTGACACAAATCACCTCCCTCTGCTGGGTCCCACTGCCACACTCCATGGAACACTGAAGGAGGAAGCAGAGAAAGATGGTGTCACGTCGGGAAGGAGACGAGAACTACTGTCCAGCGAGGTGTGTCTGTACCTGCTTTCTATCACCAATTTAGTGAGGAAGAGCCACAGGCGCTGGGAAGCGTTTCCGGAGGAGCAGCTGCTCATGAATTCCAACTTTCCCAACAGTCCTGTGTCTGGAGTGGAGATTGGTGCCCGAGTCACCCCGGCTCTAGGCTGTTGGCCGCTGAGATCCTGGTGCCTCTGTGCTGAGACTCCCCCCAGAAACACACCAGCCAATCAGTGTGCTTGTTTCTGTCCAGTAGCCTCTGCCACCTCTGACTGAACAATGAACTAGCATTCTGGTCTTCCTGCTGCTCCCTTAGTGGATGGACACTTGGAATGGATTCGTCTCCCAGAGCCCACACAACTGCGCGTGAAGGGCTAAGTTAAAATTCTTTGGGACATGCAAAGCTAAATAGAAGATTCTAGACTTGGGATAATATGGAACCCTCCCCTCCCAACAGGTGGCCAGCAGGAAGATGTTCTTCTAACTAGATGCCCAAGCTTGCTGGCGTCTGAGCACAGAGGCCGGACGATTACACATGGGCACCTTTTGTTAGTTTACTGAAACATGATGCATATAACTGTTACTTTGTAAAATGTTTTTGTTCATGTTTGGTTTACTCAATATTTCTTGATTAAAAAATTTAAAAGCTGTGATTTATAGGCCTTCAGAGACTTTAAAGAATCCACTATCTTTATGAAAAGCTTTTAACAATGTCTAAGGCCGAAATTCTTAACATTAGCCTTGCTTCTGTAGGCTAACACAGGGTCAAATAAAAAATGGGAAAAACGTACATCTCTATGGAAAAAAGAAAAACCCAAGCCAATAGACTACGAGCTGATCACACAGGGCATAATAGGCATAACCATCGGCTATTTCTGCTTTGTGCCTTCTTCTCTGCCGTCTCCTCAGGCACCCTGAAGATCTCCTCAGCTTGTTTTTCCTTCTTTCTTCCCTGTTAGTTAGCTAGGGAGTTAGTTAGTTAATTCACCTGTGCTGGAGGTTAAGTCCAACCCCAGCATCACAAGCAGACTATATTCTGTTTGGTTTGTAGTGTGTGAATGACATAGTGAACCTGGGGTTTCCCTGGATGTGATCTTTCTCATCTGTGTGTGACAATGCTCAGCATAACGTGTTAGCTGATTACCGACTTGGCGCACACTCAGTATGTTTATGGTTTGCCCCTTTCTTTCCGGTGCCACAGACGACGAAGGACTCGGAGGCAGCAGAGGAGAAACAGGCTGCCAGGCAGAGGAGCGCAGGTGTGTGCAGAGGGTCCAGGTGGCGGCAGGAGACATGGAAACTAGTCTAGACACCATCACTAAACAGTCCCGTGTCTGTGGCCAAGGCACAGCACTCTCCTAGGTTTCACCTGCAAACTGGCGGGACTTGGAAACCGGATCTGAGAGACCCACGACTGTTCCGAGGGCTGGACACAGGCAGACCCAGGGCTTGGCAGGCAGCAGACTGCAAACTGGAATCAAGACCTCCAGCTATGTTATGCTGTGCTTGCAAAGTCCTTGAAGACACTAGGTAATGAAGGAAGAATGAGCACACATCTCAGCCTTCTCCTACCTAAATGCCCAGAAACAGCAGAATGTGTGTGTGGGAACAAATGAACAGATGTGTGTACAGGTGTATGTGTGTGAACGAGACAGTGATTGAAATAGGAAAGGGCGCTCATCCTTGGTGGACCAGCGATCATGGGGAATCTGTGAGTGATGAAAGATAGATGAGACTAAATTGAAGAGAAAATCATAGTCAAAAGTGCACAGAGAGGAGGGACCCCTCACCAAGAGGAAGCAGCTTGAGTGTGTGGTGCGAGAATGGTGGTGGTCATGTGGCTATGAGGAGCAAGAGGGACGGAGGCCTTGGGACAGCAAGAGAGTGATCAGCTAAGATGCTGACCAGGAACCTGACTGTGCCAAGGAAGAAGCGAAGGCATCTGCCCGCACTGGGAGCATTCAAGTCAAAGGGCAAAGTGAAGACGTTTTCAGATATTCAAGGGCTCAGAAAACTGATGGCTTATGAATCCTATTAGAAAGACTTACTGGGTTATGGTCTTTAGCAAAGTTAAAAACAACCAGGAAGAAGACACAGGATACAAAAGCAGAAGTTGGCAAAGTCACCAGTAAAAACTATTGTTAGTAATGGCTATGAGTTTCTTTTGGGATCACAAAAATGTCCTGGAATTGGGTAGTAGTGATGGTTGCACAACTTCGTGGATATACTAAAAAACACTGAATTGTACACTTTAAGAGGGTAAATTTTATACTAACCAAATTATATTTCAATAAAAATAACCTTGAAGGGAAGGAGGCTATTTTAAAATCTAGATTAGTATTTTCTATGAAGTTAATTAACATTAATATGGACCTAAATCCAGATGATTTTAGGATCTTTTTGGATGTAGTATATAGATTGAGAGAATGTGGTTACTGATAACTTGACATGGATACAAACGTAAACATTTAAAACTTTTTGTTAAATCTTTCTTCTTCTGCTATCACTGGATAAATAAAAATAGAATTTATAACTTCCAAAATGTTAGAGGAAAAAAAAAGGAATTAAGGAAGTTGGACCAATACAAATGTGTGAAAAAGAAAGAGAAAACGCACAAATACACATACAAACAAACCGAGAAAGCATGGCAATAGAAATTTAAACAGAAAACACCAAATAAGAATGCAGGGAAAAGTCGTAACATATAAATGGTTACAATAAATGTGAAAGGTTAAAATTTAACTCTTAAAAAATAGAGACTTGCAGATTGAGTAACAATAAAGACAAAAATAGTCCTGCACACAAAAGACATATCTTAAAAAATTCATAAGAAGTTGACAGCCCAGGCTGGTTTTGCTCAGTGGTTAAGGCATCGGCCCATGAACTGAAGGGTCTTAGATTCACTTCCCGATCAAGGGCACGTACCTGGGTTGCAGGTTCTATCCCCACTTGGGGCATATTTGGGAGGCAACTAATTGATGTGTCTCTCTCACATAGATGTTAGATGTTTCTCTCTCTCCCTCCTTCCTTTCTGCTCTATCTAAAAATCAAAGGAAAAAATATCCCCGGGTGAGGATTAACAACAACAAAAAAAGAAGTTGACAAAGGAGTATCAGGTGAAAACCAACGAGTATCAGATATAATGTAATTCATGGAGAAAAGCATAAAAGACAAAAAGTGTTATCTAGTAGAGATAAGTGCTTCTACTGAGACGTGATAGCAATTCTACCTGTTTTTACACCTAAAGAATTCCTGCAGCTGTACCTTGCACAGTGGATCACTGTTCTAAGACCTACAAGTCTTGTTCTCTCGGGCTGGCTTTCTCCACGGGCTCTGCATGGCCACTGCTGGCACCTGTACTCACAGCTGCCCAGAGAGTCTCTCCCTTTAAGTCCATGAAGGTCCCAGGGAAGGACTGTTTAGGTCACATGTTCATCCTTAACAAGTCACTGAGACCAGGCTGGTGGGGTGTTCAAGATGCCTACTCTCGTTCAAACCACGTAGTAGAAAGGAACATTTATTTTTATATTCTGAAGTCAGTTAATGTTAAGATTTACTGTTCAATAAATAAGCATTATCTATTTCATCTTCTTTTGGGGTAATATCAAATTCCCAGGGCAGAGAGGTGCCAGTAGGTCCCAATATCCTTATAAATCCAGAACCCAAACTGTCCACATTCAATTATGTTCTAACCCTTTTGGACAACAGGGCAATCAATTCTATGTTTCTAATCTTAGCAGAAATAAAGGCTGTTTTCACCTGGGCTCACACACTCTGTTCTCTGAGGTATAGAGTCCATAGGAGGCCCACAAGCAAAAAAAAACACCCTGAATCCTACTCTCCTCTTCGGAGACTGGTAGGCAAGCAAACGGAACTGCACCTCTCAGCTTCACTGCGCATGAAGACATATGGTCTAATATTACAATCTGACACAGGGCTCCTCTGTATTGCTTTGGTTTCTGTGGACATCTGACATCCTACAGGTACATTCCACTTCTGAATTATCTTTGTGGTTTAGGTTCCAGTTGTTTTATTTCCAATGAAGAGATAGAAACAGCTGGCAAAAAAAGTAATTAAACATGAGAAAAAGGGAACTAATATTTATTAAGTACTTCCCATGTTCCAAGCAACGGGCAACCTGTATGTGTATATGTATATGTATATGTATATGTATATGTATATGTATATGATCTCATGAAAACCCAATAACAATCCTAGGAAGTTGCTATTATTATCCTCACATTTGGATGAGGAAACAGGCTCAGAGAGGTTAAATTAGTTGCCCCAAGTCAGAGAACTAAGGGGAAGTAGAGCTGGGATTAGTTACTAAGTATATCTAACTCATACCTACCAGGGTAGCATTGGCCATGTTTAAATTTTCTTTCTTAATTTTCTATATTTTACAGTTTGTATTATAAAACATTAAAGGAGAATTGAGCAAAAAACATTTCCCCATGTTGTTTACATAAAAAGACTATACTTTGAACTGGTTGAGATCATAGGATTCAAAGATTTTCATGTTATTTTTCACTTGCCACTGTATCAATGCACTTTCCACATCTTCCTAATTATCGTTGTTGCTACATAATATTTTAATGAGTATGATATACCATAAAATCCCTCACCACCCTGCTGTCATGAACATGTCTGTTGAAAAGCCTTTTTTCTTCTGTTAATTATTTCCTTAAACTGAACCCCCAGGAGTGGGTTGACTGAGTTAAGGCAAATTAACATTTTTATGGTTCTTGACCTTTATTGCCAAATTGCTTTCCAAAGGGGTTGTATCAATTTACAAGGACAAGGCAGTCCATTTTTTTTTTTCAGGGTCTGTGTTTAAAGCTACTTAAAAGAAATAAAATTCTATATGGAGCCAGAAATCCTAATAATGTGTAAATTATGACCATCAGCAAAGAAGTCCTTGGAGAACCATTCAGCCCTGGGAGCCAAATGCTAAGTGGCCCAAGAACTCAAAATACTGATGGTAATCATAACAAAAAAATAAGAAGGAATGATCTTTGCCATATTTTCTAAAGGGGTTCGTGTTAAATTTTGGAATAGTGAGGAAAAAGTTAATCGATCAATTAACTCACTTTATTAAAGTATTCAGTATTCTGTTCTCTATAATGAACAACCTCACCTTTTTCTATTTCTGCTTCTTTATTTTTCCAGCTTTAATGAAGTATAATTGACAAATAAAATTGTAATATATTTAAATTGATGATTTGGTATACATTGTAAAAGGATTCCCACCATTGAGTTAATACTTACCTACCTTTTTTTCCTGGTGTGAACACTTGAGTTCTACTGTCCTAGCAGATTTCATTTATACAGTACAGTGTCATGAACTACACTCACCATGTTGTACATTAGATCTTTGGACCTTATTCACCTTGTACCTGAAAGTTTTACCACCCTCTCCCCATTTTCCCACCTCAGCCTCTGGAAATCACCACTCTACTCTCTCCGAGTTTGGCTTTTTTAGATTCCACATATAACTGATACTGTGCAGTATTCGTCTTACTCTGTCTGACTTATTTCACTTAGCATAATGTCTTCTAGGTTTATCCATCTTGTTGTAAAAGGCAGAATTTCCCTCTTAAAAAAAAAAAAGTTGAATAATATTCCTAGGCATATTTTCTTATCCATTCATCTGTGATGAACACAGGTTTTTTCCATATCTTGGCTGTTGTGAATTATGCTGCTTTGTACGGAGTGCAGATGTGTCTTTGAGATAATGATTTCATTTCCTTTGGATATATATCCAGAGGCAGGATTGCTGGGTCATATCGATTTCTGCTTCTGACACTTAAATACAGACAAAACTGGCTTTATTAACAACAATAGCAGCAGTATCTATGATTTACTCTGTGTCAGGCTCTGTGCTACATACTTAACATACATTACTTCATTTCTTCTAACAATAACCTCTAAGGTGCTGTTGCAACCAGCATTTTATAGACAAGGAAACCATGCTAGACCATGAGCTTCCCTGAGGGCAGGAATATTCGTTTTGCTCACTGATGTATCCCAAGTGCTTAGAAGAGAACATAATAGGAGCTGAATAAATAATGTTGACTGAATGAGGCTCCAAGAGCATAAGCAGGTTCTTTAGGATCATGAGTAGCACAGCTGGGATTCAAAGCCAGACACACCAGGCCCAGTTCCTAACCCCTCTGCTATGCAACCCTTCACCAGGGACAGGCACACATTCCCAGTTCTGGCCACTCACCTGACTCCAGCTGCCAGCAAACCACTCCACCCTGCCCGTGCAGGGCCCGTTGTCACACGGGGTGGCCTCTGCTGGCCGGTTGTTCCCACAGCCCTCCAGGGGCAGGCTGCTGACATGGTTGGTCATGCACACCACCGAGCGCGTCCGCACTCCAGCCCCGCACTCCGCTGAGCACTGCGAGACAGAAGATGGCACAGCTCAGAGCAGGCCTTCCCTCCAGGTTCTGAAGGCACAGGACTGAACACCGTGTTTCCCCACCAACTCCTTCCCCTAGAAGTCTCTGAGCACTTCTCATGCACGGCCTGGTCCACTGTGGGACATTGGTAGGACATGTGCCCAGCCTTAGATTTTCTGGGACAGTCTTCATTCTCAATACCCTGTCCCACTGTTGTGATCAATATGCTTACACATGTCAGACTATCTGTCGTCATTTTGACTTTCAAAACTACATCCAGCAGCAGAAGAATGACAGCAAGAGAAGGTGGGCACATGTCTCCTTGCTGGTCATGGGTCTGGGCTGCACAGGGCAAGGAGGGGAACTGACATTTGTCCCCTCGGCATTGCTGCCAATATTAAGGCACATGGTTCCAGTCCCTGTAGGGCACAGCTGTGACAGTATACCAGGAGGCACCTGGGATAAAGAGAGAGCCTGGCCGAGAACCTGTCATAGCGGTGTCAATGTCACTACGGCTGTGTGGCCTGGGGCAAGTGACCGCGATCCCCTCGCGTCTGGCATGTTTGCCTGGCCCCTGGTATGGGAACACATTCCTGGCAGCATTACAGGGAATGAATGACATGTAGAGAGCAGCTGCCCAATGATGGTATGAGGAGCTTTAAAGGTTCGAGACCTACATCCCCACTTTAAATAGAGAAACCGGAGGTCACAGGATTAAGTCTTCCCTTAAAGCCACATAACTGTTAGTGATTTCATCACTACAGTCTCACCCTGTTCTCACCCAGGACACAGTCAACACTCCACTGAGCCGTACCCTGAAGCTCTGAGAGCATTTCCTCATCTGCCTTGAAACACTTTGGAATGATGCCTTAGTTCGCTTCTCATCCTATATTTTCAGAACATTTTCATGGGAGTGTCCCACAGACACCTCATGTCCATCAGGTGAAACACGGGACGCACCTTCATCACCGTTCCCATCCCTTCTCTGGGTTTTTCACCTTGTGTTCAAATGCGTATCTGGATTCAAAACCGACTGCTCTTCTGCCTCCTGGCTTCCCGCATCTCGCCAGCCAGAAGGCTCGTGGATTCCAGTTTAAGCACATTTATCTGTCTTGTCCCTTCTGCCCGCGGTCCCCAGCACCCCGACATTCTTGCCCCGAACTGTGGCCACAGGTTCTCACTCAGCTTCACCAGCTCTTCTCAGTTGCTGGCTTCCAGGTGCTGGGAGATCTACGCGGAAACGCCTCTGGAGCTAGTCCGTCCCCAGCAGCGTTCACCGTGGACTCCCCAGATGGCCTGAAAGGCTTCCTGAAACATGGCCCCATTCTTCCAGACTAACTACCTATTTATACATCGGGAATGCATTGGTTTTCTTGGTAGGGGTTGCCACCTTACCACTATATGAACTTCTAAAAAAATCATAGGGGCCGAATGGTTTGATATAATGTGTGAAAATCTGACCAGGCTCAGCTCAGTGCCATCTTCTCTGTGAGAACTTCCTAGATTTCCCAGTTCAATAGACTTTCCCCTCCTCAGAATTCTCATGACATCTGTATTCTGCTGTCAGCCTTTGTATTTTGGTTATTTATGATCTATTATTATTATGATGATTATTATAGAAGTAGGCTCAGTGAGGGAAGAGACTATTACATCACCTTTAATTCACTCTCAGGCAGCACCGTGCCTATGGGCGGGTCCTTGACTATCAGCTGAGCACAAACACCTGACGGGCGCCCTTGCTCTTTCTCTCTCATCAGCACCTTTCCCGGTGAGCAAAGCCCTTCCAGGGCTTCTGCTGGGTCTTTTCTTAAAAACAGAGTCGATGTTTGGTTTCTACCAACATTACCATTTTAAAAGTAAATATAATTTTAAATAAAATTTGAAAAAGGAAGAAAAATACTAACAATCTCATTTCCTTATCAAATTTTCTACTTTTGTTTTTGTAACTTGCTGTCTAATCTTGTAAAATCATAGCCCAGGATGAGTCATTAAATTTTTACATGGCCCCTGCTAAGCTGAGCCTGACTCTTCAGGGAGGGAACTCTCTGGAGTGAAGAGCTTGAAGGTGGTGAGAACATGCCCCAAAATATGCTGCTTTGGCATATTGATTATTTTGAGTTCATGGCAATTAAGGAACAGCAGGTGCAGGAAGAGCGCTCCCCTCCCCTCTCCTGCCTAGAAGCAGGGCGGACATTTCCTGTGAGAAAGGTGCCCTCCCAGTCCCAGGAAGAAGTGAACGTTCTCATTGGTGATGGGGAATCAAGACAATTTTGCACAAATAAACTTTACTGAAATAGCCCTTATCTTCCATTAGTTTCCTCCATATACTTCTTGGTCATTTTCTTACAAATGACTGCCCCTAGAAGCCCAAACCCCTTTCCTGTCCCCTTCACAATTTATCATTCTTTGTTAAAATGGTATGTAATTCCTCAAGTCTGTCTGCTTCTTTAGAATTTTAATTTCTTTCCCAAGAAGCTCCCTGCTCCATGCCATGTTAAAAAAATAAAATAACATCAAATAAAATGTGTATGCTCCTCTCTTGCTAATCTGGTTATTGCCAGTTTAATTTGCAGTCTTCCATGAAAGAACCCAAGAAGTAAAGGAAAAGTTTTTTCTCCCTTACAGGCTCACAGAAGCTTTTCATGACTTTTGTTTTATCTGCATTGTTATTAGAAATCTGCTTCCAGTCCAAGTAATATACATGCATCTTGGGAGAGTTTCCCCATATCCCCGTGCACTTAATTTAAAAGAATAGTGCTAAGGACTAAGGCAATATCCAGTGAGAAAACATAAGGATGAGCCCTGCAGAGGCTGCAGTGAAAAGCACAAAAAATTTATATTTCGAAGTTGCTGCCCACAACAGGACCTGGCTCGGGACGCCTATCAGTAGAAATGAGAGGAATGAGAGGTCCCCACCACGCAGCAGAGACTAACCTGCAAAGCGAGGCACTGAACACACCCATTCACCGTTCCTGAAGGATGTGCCTAATAGAAGGACCAAATCCATTTCAGAAAAGAACCCGACTTCTAAATGAACTTCTGGGCAGATAAAACACAGAGATGCATGAAATTCCTAAGGATTGTCTCCTCACTCCAGCAGCAACACTAACCTTGGCCCAAGTGGCCCCTGAAGGACTATGAGGCTCCAATGACTGTTCCTGAGCCTCAGCTTTATGCATCATCTTCCATAATTTAAATAACTCAATATCTTTATTTATTTCTTCTCTTGGAAAACGTTCTTAGAAATTAGGTGCTAGAGGTAGGTAAACGTGGTACCCGCCTCCTCTGACAGCTGCATAAAAATGACAACTAAACCACAGAACAACCACCCTTCAGAACCGCCTAAAATTGAGCTGAATGAAAATTCTACAACTACTGAATTAAAGAAGCCACATTGAGACTGGTAGGAGGGGCGGAGTCACAGACAGGCCGGTCCCACACCCATGTGTGCTGGATGAAAATCAGGAGATACCTAAGCTGTGAAGGTCCTTCCCAAGGAGCAAGGGGTCCCCATCACCTACTAGGCCCCCCAGCTCAGGGTGCCAGTGCCAGGAAGAGAAGCCCCCATACCTTCTGGCTGTAAAAACCAGCGGGAATTGAGGCTGAGGGAGGCTGAAGTATTGGGAGCCCCAGGCAGTTTCTCTTAAAGGGCCCATGCATGGATTTACTTGGACCAGCTTCCCCCAAGCCCCAGCGTGGGGGAGGCAGCTTGAAAGGTACCAGAGACACACGGGGAAGAACTAAGTTGTTTGGCAGTGGGAAGAGAGCTGAAGAGGCAGCTTTCCTCTGGACAGACGTGCTAGCGGAGGCCTTTGTTCCTTTGGTGAGCCCTTCCCCCACAGACCCAGCAGACAAGTGCCATATCTGGGCTCCAGCAACCTGGCTCACACTGTTTGCCCCACCCTGGTGATTCCCTGAGGCCCCGCCCCACACAACTTTCAGGTCCACCCAAGCTGTTGCCAGCGGCTTTACCACAGGATTGGCCTGTCTTTGCTCTTGCTTCAGATTTTCCTAAATTCTCTCAAACAAACAGCACCTGGCCTCAGCAAGCCCCATACCCCTAGCTAAGTAGCCCCAGGCCTTGGCACTAGACGCAGCCAGCCTTGGTTCACAGCTTGGCTTTGCCTGGACACCTCCAAGACCAGCACAAGAAGCAGCCATTTGTAGATCGCTTTGTAGATTACACCTGATGGTCACAGGCAGAACACAGGCAGAGGCTGACCTTGCCCTAGAGGTAGCACACCCAGTGGACAGCTTCAGACTTGTTGAAGCATCACCACCTAACCACCTTCACAAGCGACACACTCAAGGAGTGGATTCAGTGGGTACCAGAGCCCTGCTGAAGTAAATCTTGCTCTGTGTGGTGAGCCCTGCACAGCTAATCCTCCAAGGTAGTCAGAGGTCAGTGGTCAGTGGGCACAGCCAATCCTTGTAGCTCATCAGCCTGAGTAAATCCCTCCCATTGACATACCAACAGCAATCAAGACTCAATTACAACAAAAGGGTGGACAGTCCACATGAGGGGTGCATATCAAGGGCCCAGCTAGGGTGACCAGGGAGGCCGTGACACTGAACCCTACAGGGCATTTAATACAATAGGCGACCCTAGGATGCTTAGGAGACATAGCAACTCTACCTAACACTCATAAACAAACACAGGGAGGCAGCCAAAATGAGGAGACAAAGAAACATGTCCCAAATGAAAGAACAGAACAAAACTCCAGGGAAAGAATTAAACAAGATGGAGATAAGCAACCTAACAGACGCAGAGTTCAAAACACTGGTAATAAGGATACTCAATGAACATAGTAAAAATTTTAAGGAACTTAGTGAGAATGTCAAGAGCATTAAAAAAAAAAAAAACAGTCAGAAATAAAGATGCACTAACTGAAATAAATAATAATTTACAGGAAATCAATAGTAGAGTAGGTGAAGCTAGGAAGCAAACAATCTATTTGGAATATAATGAAACAAGAAACACCCAATCATAACAAAGAAT